ACACCTATTTATGAAAGCGATAAATTCTCTAATTTAACAGCTATAGTTCACTTTTAAAATATTTAAAGTTGTAACGATCGAACGATATATTTTTATATTTTTGGACGTTAACTCATTTGGCTGGTAGATATGATATGTGATATCTATCTCACCGTATTTTTTCGAGGTAATATATTCGAATGATAGCTCAACATTTTAAGAAAGAATGAATACAGAGTGATCGAAAAATGAGTCAACCGAGATATATCTTAGGATTAAACAATATTAAAAAGTTAAGATTCGTAAATTAAACTGTAAACACCAGTTTGAAACATGACCATTTTCTGAATCAATCGGTTCGTTGGTGGAAAGGAATGTTAAAATATATCCCAGTTAATTGTTGACTTTACTTTATAATAAATTTATAAGGAAAAATATTGTAAACAGGAATTAAATAAATATATATACTTATATAACATATAGGCCTATTTATTGAATATCGTAGAAATTTATTTATTATATTTCAATTAAGAATTTAGGCCTATATAAATGAAAAATATGTTTCATATAACTGACATTTAACATTATATACTTTCCATTTCATATAATTAACATTTATTTTTATATTTTAATATATATAATTCATGTTTATTAATGTTTTATATGAACAAATATATAATAAATTATGTAACTTCTTTTAAGTATTAAAACTAGCATAATTATTTATTCATGTGGTAAATATAATATTTTGAGGATGTAAAAATTTCGAAAAGCTATTTTTATTTCAGCATCAAGTTTAAACTGAACTTGTAATTTATTTAGAAAAATTTAAACAGTTTTAAAAATAATAAAAATTCTCAGATCTAATTTTTTCTGATGACAGTTTGGAGAGATGTATCTTTGCGACTTCTCACATATATGTGAAACATAAAACTCTTAGAAACGTTATATCTAGTACAACTCACTTTTAAAAACATTTTATAAATTGATAGTTTGAACGACAAGATAAATAGAATTCTTGAACTTCAATATAAATGTGCCCATTAAAGTATCACTCGACATTTTAAATAATTTTCAATTCAGGCATAACTTAAGAAGTTCTCAAATGCTGAAAAAATAAGAATAATTTACCAAATATATATTCTTTTTATTATAAATAAAAAAAAATTTAAATTTATATGTAATAATTACATACTTATCTGAATATTCAACAGTATGTAATGGAGTATCCTCGATATTAGTTGAAATAATATTTTTATGTTGAAAAGTTTCATCTATTATTTTTTTTAAAAATTCAATTTCGATATATTTTCGTTTACCAATAATATATTTTTCAAATAAATATAATATTTCTAAATCCGTTAATCCGTGAGCCTTTAAAGCTACATAAGTTTGATCGAAGTCAAGTTGATTTTCTAACTTTTTATTATCATCAGATTTCAACTTTTTTCTTATTGATTCGAATTTAGATTTAATAACCTATTTTAAAAAATGTAATTTTATTTATAAATATTTCATTTAATATAAAAAGAATTTAAAAATTAATTTACCAATTTTAAATATGAAAATATGCCAGATTCTGTATTTTCAGATTTCATTTCTTCTTTTACGTTTGCATAAGTATCATTGATAATTGCCAGAAACATGTTCTAAAATTGTAAAATTTTATAATAAAAAAATAAACTATACAAACTATATTAAAATGTACGGTTTAATATGTACTTACCAGTAATACAAAAAACACAAAGAAAACGTATGTTATAAAGTAAAGAGGACCCAAAAGATTATCCACATCTTGTAATTGATAAAAGTCGTATTCACCCAAAATGATTCTTAACAATGTAAAACTATATATATTTTATTAAAAATTAAATTTTAAATATTAATAGTAACAATATCATCAAAATATTTTTTAAAAAATCATAAAAATTGTGGTGAGATAATTAACAATGAATTAAAGTTAATAAAGTGTAATACAGTAGAGCGTCGTTTATCCGAATCAATTGGGGACTGGGGTGGTTCGGATAACTTATTTTTCGGATAACCAATTATGTACGGAAAAATATATGAATTTATCCCATGTTGAAATTTTTCTCCGTTGCGTGTCGCTTCGCGTTGAATTTTTGTCGATGATAAGCCTAACGAAGACTATTGCATCGTTAAAAATTATTTTTTTATTTTGTACGAACAAAATAAATATATTGATAAAATATAAAAACAATAAAAATTATACTTTAGAAGTTAATTTAGTATCGAAAACGTAAAATATTTGAGTAGCCGAAGACTAGCCAAAGATTACAGCGCCACAGCACTGGCGAAAATTTAAATTTATCGACTGGAATTCCTTCGGATAACCGGCGTTTCGGATAACCGACCTTCGGATAAACGACGCTCTACTGTAAATATATATTAAGCGGACAGCAGCGCCAAATTTTGTCACAGCGGCTGAATTTTGAAGTACATTTTTTCCAAATGTCGAAACCGCATACTCAGAACAGTTTTCTGTGCCAATTTTGTATTTTCTACTATACAATATCAATTTTGGTGGAGATTTTCCGAAACGTTTTACACAAAGCTCTAAACCAGTGTTTCTCAACTTCTAACGAAACGTCGCCCCCTTCAATAAAACCGTCACGTAGTATCGCCCCATTCACTACAAAATCCGATGCCGAGGGACAAGGCTAATGCCAAATTCGTACTGCATCGAATAGACTAGTGACTATATAATATTATTTGTTTAATTATTGTACGATATAACGAATAAAATATCTAATTATTCTTAATATAATGTTTTACTATATCGCCCAGAAAATTGTTTTT